CACTCAAGCTTTAATATTTAGCAGCCACCAAAGCTTTGAAAATGCATTAAAAATTACACAAGCTTAATGTTTTCCACTAAAGGCCAATGTTTTATTAGTGTTCTCGTTATTATGATGATTGATATTATTTTATGATAGGGCAGCAGCTCTTCAGCTTCACCTTTTCTTCTTACTTGGAACTTTGTAGCAGAAGACAAACATAAATCAGTGACTGAGATATACAGTAATGCACAACTGATTCTTTTAGTATATTTTGTTGCAAAGAGGTTTGCCAAGAGCATAATAGAGCAGGCTTTTAATACCTAATATTGTAAAATCTCTGCTAAACAAATGTAGTATTCTTGAACTCTGAAGTGTTAAGTAGAAAAATATTTGGAAAATTAAATCTTGGATTATCTGTATTCAATAACTTTTACAATAATATGGCCTTGTCCATCTGGTATTCACTCCAGACAAAAAGAGAAATGCCAACAAAACTAAATAAATAAATAATCAAATGAAATGATTCAAAGCTTTTTGTTGTTGTTGTTGCTGGGAATATCATTTCAATAAGCCATTTGGAATATAATTATAATTATTATTTATTGTAATAAATTAGAAAAGTATATAGATTATTATTAGCTAATTAGTAATTAATAGCTTATTATCATAAAGATTATAATTTTATTTATTATTTATTCATTTTTTTTATAGCCAAAGTGTCTCATGACATCAAGTCCCGGGGGTGGGGGCACATATTTAGCATGTTTCGCGATCCTTTACAGAAACGGAAACTGCAGGGAGAAAGACCTGTTATTTCTAGCAGCATTTTTGGATTTTCCCAGAAGCGTAAAAGCACATTGTTTAAGGGTTATTTTACCGGTAAAATATTTGCTCGTCATTGTTGTTCGAGCCGTTACATTACAAGCCAAACCAGTTTGACCCTAACAGAAACCTAATGAATGACATGACTTTTCACTCATTTTCAATCAAAAGAAATTATTCAAAACCACAATAAAACATTTTTTTCTAGGCATTTTAATTAATTAAAACTATATTACCAGTACTTCATCACAATTAGTGCAAAACGGTATTGCTTTTCAGCTAGTTCTAAAATGATCATTTACTATGTGAAAGTAAAACACACAGTTTTACTTGATTTACACATCTCATTTTAATGACATAAAAAAACTCTGCGTGATGCTGAAACTTAAACAAGTTTGAACAATGTTGAGTTAGTTTCTTGTATTACGTATTGCTTGTTGTAATTTTTAATGAGTTTCTTGTCTTCGCCTGTTCGTTGAGCTGCTTTGTTTCTTTTTATCGTCTCCAGCACTTGTGATCAGATAAATGTCGATGCTCTCTTTCTAGTTATTATCTCACTCTTATTTACTGATCTATATCTACCCAGAGTACCTGTGGTTGTGCGTATATTTGAATAGCATTAATTACCTGTAGTGCAGCCTGAAAGGAAACAACTCTGGCAATATGCATGCGAGTCTGAGTGAAGAAAAAATGTAACCTTACATTTAATGTAATAGTGTTTACAATGTTAAAGGAAATTTGTCTCACCCTGATAAGATTCACACATTTTACATACCAACTACTTAACTCTAATGGTATTTCTAATAAAAATAAATTATTCCCTGTGTTTTATTACTTCCATTTATCCATCCATTATCTTTTACCTTCTTTTTCCTTTCCGGGTCACAGGGGTCACTGGTGCCCATACCCAGCAGTCACTGTGCAAGAGGCGAGGTAAACCCTGGACAGGTCTCCAGTCCATCACAAGAACACATAGCTCTCTCTCACTTCCACCAAGGGACAATTTAGAGTTACCAATCAGACTAACATGCATGTTTTTGGTCTGTGGGAGGAAACTGGAGTCCCCGGAGTATTTACACACATGCATGAAGAGAACATGCAAACTCCATCCAGAGAGGTCCTGGGCCGGGATTTGAAACGGGCGACCTTCTCTCTGAGAGGCAACAGCTCTACCAACTGAGCCACCGTGCTGCTGTTTTATTACTGTTGAATCATTTGACCAGCACCAGTGTGTGTGTTTACCACTCAGATGGGTCAGTTGTGCATGCTAAAACATGAATGTGGGCTGTACTATGAATTCTGAATCCAATGGTTCAATTTTTGTTCTAGTGTTGCTACATAGGTTGCCGCTAACAGCTAATAGCAGAACTAATCTTTCATTTGGCGGATTAGCGTTTTTGCTTACTTTGAAAAACCATAGCGGAATTAGCTTTGGACTGAGTTAAATTAGGTTTTGCTAACTTTTAAGTCAGCTAACAAATGTCACAAGCTTGTTCCTGTCCATTGTGGACATGTCTCAAAGAGTCTGTTAGACACGCTATTAGACTACTACGTGCACATGCGACAAGAGACATTGGTTGACACCACTTCAAATGGAAGGAGACATACCTGTAGATATGTGACGCGGACTGACAGTGGTCTAAGCAGTTAGCGGTTTAGCGATAGCTTCTGCTAATTTTGTAGTTTGTGGAATATGGGTTAGAGAAGCTAACATTTTGGTTAGCTTTGCCACCACTGCTTATGAAAATGTCATCTGGTTGCGTAAAGCGCTTTTTAAAATTTATTTAAGCAGCAATTTAAGCATTTTAGTGCCTATAACCTGACTAGCACACAGTATTTCATTAAACAAAGTTGTAATTCCTGAAGAAGTGGAAGAAAAAGGTAAAGCAAGTGAAAAAACAAGGGAAGCAAAGAAGTTGAAGCAATGTTAGTCTTGCATTAGAGTTAAATTCCCCAGATTTAAGAAAGAAAAAAAAAAAGCTTTTGTGCTCCACCCTGTTTGTCTTTCCAAAGAATTTGTAGCTCGTTGAGCTTTTCACTTGATAATGTTTGTTTATTTGACATGGTGCCGACAGATGCTTTCAACACTTTGTCATTGTTTTTTCCCCATTGTTTTTTAAGGGAACACGTAAATGTATGATACTTTTTTTTTTTTTTAAGACAATTGTGTGAGTTCCCACATTTCTTTTTTTTATCAGAGCAAAAACTAATTCATGCTGTTTAAAGGGATAGTCTGCTGAATGAGATCTGTATGGACATGCATGTGCACTCATCATCTGTGTATCAATGGTGTTGAGGCTGATAATGTACCAGTTTGCTAGGCGTTGAGTAAGCATTTGGATTGACACTGATCAGGCAGACTGATACGATCAGCATTCTCATCACCATGGCATAAGACACAATTTATACACCACAGTGTTTCCATCTTAACTCTTTTGTTGCTATATTTTGCAAGTCTTAGGCTCCTCCAGCAATTTTCTTTATTGAAAGCGACTTTGAACAAATTTGGTAACTTTTTCTGTTCTTAATGGAGACTTTTGAAGACTGTTAAGAAGGCAGGTATCCAACAAGCAGTGCATGTTGCTGTCAGCCTTCCCACCGTCCCAAAGTGCTCACAGGTGACTCAGTCTTTTTGCAGCGTCTCTCCCAGCTGCAGTTAGAGCAATGACAACAAATATTCAAAAGATAAAATATTTAAAAAAGACCATCTACCTGTATCCATCCATCCATCCATCCATCCATCCAACTGTCCATGTTCATGGAGGATCACAGAGCTGTGCCTTTCTCCTGCAGCCACTGTGCAAAAGGCAGGGTACACCCTGCATGGTCACACGTCTATTGCACGGTCATGTAAAGACAAACAAGACAGACAATTTTTAATTAAAATGCATCTGAGGTTACTATAAGCATGGTTACATTGCATTTTTAACAAATTCTGCATCACAGGGATGCATGACGCATGATGCAAACAGGTCTCACTTTTAAACGAGTCTCCGAGGCTCATTGTGATTAATCTGTATAAATAAAGGTTGGACGAATGACCTCTTAGCCCAAATGTGCACATTTATTTATTGCAATATTAATAAAGCACATAGGCTGCCACAAACCCCATCATTTTTCCAGGACCAGAGTTCTTTGGTAAGATAGACTCTTACAGAATGACCATTATAAATGCAACTGCTCACTAATCAAGAATATATGCTTAAAACAATAAAATAAAATAAATACGCCCAGAAATTTAAATACAGCATTATATTATTTGACTTGCAACAATTAGGCTCTACAGGTTTCTGAACTGAAGTTTACCATCCTAACCTCAGCTTGATCTCTGTCTCTGTTCCTGTGAACCTTGACTGTCTTCAGCCTTGTCTTAAACTGTCTGTCACAAATCTTGGGATTGTTTTAGACTCTGCTTTTGAACAGATTATAACTCTGTTCTGCAGAAAATCTTCTTCCAGTTAAGGCTCATCCAAAATGCTGCTGCTCGGCTCTTAACAGGAACTGGTAGGTTTAATCATATTTCACCAGTTTTATCTTCCCTTCACTGGCTCCCTGTATGTATCAGAATAGATTTTAAAACTCTCCTGTTGACCTTTAAGTGCATTTAAATGACCTTGCACCCTCTTATCTCTCTAACCTACTTCAACCATATGTTCCTTCTCGGGCACTGAGATCATCTGACCAGCTGCTTTTGATTGTACCAAAAACCAGGCTGAAGCTCTGAGGATATCGGGCTTTTTCAGTCACGGGTCCTAAACTTTGGAACAATCTGACCATCAACATTACACAGGCCACTCCACGTCCTGTTTTTAAATATTTTAAAAACACACCTGTTTTCACTGGCATTTAACACAGTGTGATGTAGTATTTTATTGTTTTGTGTCTTTATGTATTTCTATTGATGCTTTTAGTATATATATATATTTTTTGCTTTAAATTACTGCCATTGATTTTTATTGTTAAGCACTTTGGTAACAAATGCTGTTTTAAATGTGCTTTATAAATAAATTTGACTTGACTTGATCATTTGACTTCAGAAAACTCAGTTCATTGGAGGATAAATGTATTCTCAGAGGTGAAAGAAAGAAAGAAACATATATATATATGTGTATAAAATAGAAATTTGAAAGTACTGTATGTTAAAAATTTTGAACCTACCTACATATTAATTTATTGATCGTTTTGTTTCACTTCAGGTCCAGACCAGCAGTTCAGACTCGCACTTCCTGGAATGCTCCTATCGTGTGGGAACTGATGTTTAATGCCAATCTTTTTGACCAAAAACACAAAAAAGCAAACACAAGTGTGGCCGTCACCGTGTTTGCTGTTGGAAGGTTTGTTTCTTTTTCAAATTTATTTCCATAAATTTATTTAAACAAAAATTATCACTATCACAACCAGCGAATTAACAAAACTCTTTTAAATTTACAACTAAAAATGTAAACACCAAACCACTGAACGGAAGCAGAGCACAACATACATCACTTTGAGATATTTAAGGAAATGTGGTGCTTACTTTAAAATGAAAGGCGACCTCTAGTGGCCATGACCAGTACTGCATAATTATTATCAAAAGGGCTTGTACAGCATGTGTTGTCTTGTTGTTTACTCAATAATAACGTTTTCAACCCCTTACCATAACCTAAAAAATATTCACCTCTAAACCATCTAGAGTTGAGAAAACTAAAATTTGTTACCAAATATTTTAACAGATTTCTGTAGTTGTGTTTTCATAGCAACAAACTAAAACATTTAACAGTGAGTGTTGTTATCACTCGTCGCCAAAAGCAAAATATGAACCTCTGGCTGAAGTTTAGTAAAACTCTCAGAAAATAATCATTACAAGTATCTCTACAACTCAGTAAGTTTTGTGACTACTGAGCTAAAATTTGGTATAGTAGCTGAGACTCACCCTCTCTTATTCTTTGAGCGCTGATTGTTTAACCATAAGCAAAAATCCCAGGGGATCGGGTGGTTCAAGAACATCCTCAGTTGTGGAGAAATGGAGATCCTCAAATAATTTATTCGAGGAAACTACGGTATGCTTTTATGTGATGTCAACAACAGAAAGCATAACTAACCTTTTAAGAGGCAAAGCAATGCATTTATATCTTTCAAAAATCATGTCTCCCTCTGAATAAATAGGTATAAATAGGGAGTGGTGGTGAAGAGGTTAGAGAAGGTGGGCCTGTGATTGGAAGGTTGCCGGTTCATCTCCTTGGACTGACAACATCAAAATGTGGGTGGGAAAGGTGAAATGCCCACACCTGCCTCCACCATCATTTGCTCCCACTGTGGGCCCTTGAGCAAGACCCTTAACCCCCACCATCTGCTCCCAACAAAAACAGGTCTCTCTTGAAAATGAGTACTTGTGACTCAATAAGACTACCTGTATAAATAAAGGTTATATAAATAAAATAGCCTACAGCCTGCCACTATTCACCACCTTAAGGTAACACAGAGAGGTGAGGGAGGCTAACCCTCATAATTCACTTCAAGATGGCTGTCAGAATCAACTGATGTCAGTAAACAAAACTGGCGATGATGATGATAGTTTTACCAAAGAATTGAGTTAAAACGTGTATTGTATGACTTTTTATAACTGTTTATTGTTGTCACTGTTGTCCACTGTTGTCATCATTCTTTGTTGAAATCAGGTCTCTCTTGTAAATGAGTCCTCGAGGCTCAATGGGATTTACCTGTCTAAATAAAGGTTGAATGATTTTTTTTTTTTTTTATCTGAGAATAATTCATATTCTAAGTGTCCCTGGGCAAGACACTGAACCCCTCATTGCCTCCGATGTGTATCCCATCGGTGTATGAATGTGATCTAAAGCACTGATTATTATTTGTACAGGTTCTTAGTTTAACTCTCAGGATTTAAAGGGGTTTAACAATATGGGTTCATTCAAATACTGCTGGTTTTTTTACGGGGCTGATGTGGAGTAGATGTAGGGCAGCTGACCTGGGGCCAGAAAGTTGGGGTTCGACTCCCCGCCATGCACACATGTCGTGGTGTCTCTTAACAAGACACCTAATCCCTAATTTCTCCCCGGGCGCTTACACAGCTGCCCACTGCTCCACCTCAGTGTATTTCACATGTGATTGGTTAAATGCAGAGAACTAATTTCACCATTGTATGGGAACATACAATGAAGACAATCTCAGACTTATCTTTCTTTTTTTTTTCTTTTAACTTGACATAAACCTTTTTCAAAGTCTAAATAAATTGTTTTACCTCATAAGCCTACGTCATAACAATTGTTTTAGTGTTATTGTATTGTTTTAATACAATAATACACTTAAAATGAGAAAAGTTTGCATATCTGCATCAAACTTGTGACCTTGAAGACCTCTTTATACTTTGAAACAATGACTGCATTCAGACACATTATGTCACCTCTCACATAAATTATTTGTCTTAGCTTCTGTTTCTTTCAGCCACCAGAGTCTCTCTTAGCTGGTTATTTGACTACGCTCAGGCTAAGGAAAACAGAACCTGTTTTAGTGTTGACAGTCCAAATGTCAGCGGACTCCAGGAAAGTCATTGTCTGCCGTCTCAAACAATGTTAAAGACAAACCTGTAGAAAAGTTGTATTATCTCAGTTAATAAATGCTGTATCATACTGTGCAATAACTAATATGTCAATTGTTTTTCTCTGTCTCCACTGCAGATACCTGGAGGCCTACCTCAAAACTTTCATAACCTCAGCAGAAAGACATTTTATGCTGGGATTACCAGTGACGTACTACGTGTTCACGGATTCACCAGAAAGCGTATCGAATTTTGTTCTTGGTCCACAGCGAAAACTAAAAGTTGTACGGGTGGATAAGTACAGCAGATGGCAGGACATCTCCATGATGCGAATGAAGACGATATCAGAGACGATTGAAAATGAGCTCCGGCACAGCTTCACACATGTCTTCTGTTTTGATGTGGACCAGGAATTTAAGGGCAGGTTTGGCTCTGAGGCTCTGGGAGAGTCCGTGGCCATGCTCCATGCCCACTATTACAAACTTCCAAAGAACAGGTTCACCTATGACCGAAACCCTAAAT